GTGATATTGCATTTCAATAAATACATTGTTATATTCTGTTTTATGGCGACATACCGTTTGATAATTAACTTGAGTAATTAATAAAATTAATGACAACTGTATAGCTAAATAAAAAACTAATCGAAAGAAGAGAAACGGAACAGATAAGTGATATGAAATTCTTTGTAACAACGCAGATGAAATGCTATTGAAGGCTATAAAATGATTCATGATACCAAAAGGAAAATTGGTGCCCATCTCAATAATGGCTTAAGAAAAATAATGAAGAAATAGATGAGAAGAGAAATGATATTCGTATATTTATTCAATATTTTCACGCAGTAAATGTTGGAAATACTTAGAAAGCAGGTAAGAGAAAATCGTTTACTACCGAACTTCTTAGAAGGCCCATGATATCTTAATAAAAACATATTAATGCTATAAAATAGAAACATGTTTGATAGTCATCATACTATGTTGTTTGCCTTGTAACGAAAATGCATAAAACAAAATATTGTCTGTTATAATACAAATTTATTTTCAGTAGAATCTCGCGTCATATTAAGTCAATGCTTCGTTTCATTGAAGACAGAAAGCGTGCACAAAATTTCTGGCGGCAATCTTTTCCCGACAATCAAAATATGAACCATGTTTATTCAAATCTGGAATTCTTCGGGTTCAAATGGAAAACTTCATATGCCCAATTCCTAATATGGGAATCCTGGAAACTTGAAAAGTGTGTAAATACCGGATATAACCCTGGTGGTTATCTTTCGGGGATGTTTCTAAACAAAAAAGTTACATGGTTATATAAAAATCTGATTTTCTTCAAAGCAATTGTCAACTGGCAAAACATTAGTCTTTTATATGTTTGTTCAACTAAATGGATAAATTTTATGAGGTTGATTCATGGCTGAGATAATTGGGTATTTTCTACTTTGTGTCAGAGGTTATTGTTCGAACCAAGACAAAAAGCAATTACTTCAAGACAATGACGCTGTCTTCAGTTTCCATTTTCTATTTCCCCCAAAATATCGACTACAATCATGTAAATTAAAAAATGTGTCTTTCTTACTGATATAAGGATCAATTAATGATGAAGGCTTTTTTTTAGAATGAGGATATAATTGCACAAAATTCCGAAAACTTACTGAGGCTTATCATGATCACTTGATAACTTTATCTTGTAACGTTATTGGATATATTACGGAATGTGTAGGCTGGAACAAAATGGCAGAATACTGGTAAGGACTCTGACGACCCGGAACTGACTGAGGCTGCTTTGACAATGATGGATTGTCTTTAAGTATTAATACAAGACCATAAGGCGCACCCAGATTCCTTAGTACGACAATCCGACACGTGATGATGGGTAATCGATCAACCGGTTGACATTTCTCCACTCTATCTCCCTCGCCCAAATAGTTCTTGCCAGAAACTACTACGACTAAAACCAAGTAAAAATAAAAATGGCCATCCTTGATTCATTGTGTGATACAGAGTTGGTATCGTAAGAACTGAAAACAGACACAACACGAAACACAACAGATAACGTTCATTATATGGATGGTCAAAACTATAATTAACTTATTTCGTGTTCGTTTCAAATTTAAGAATATTGAAAAAAAAGCTATAATGATATCTGTAAATATAAATTGAAAAAAACTATAATGATATCTTTAAATAAAAAGTGAAAAAACTATAATGATATCTTTAAATATAAATTGAAAAAAAACTATAATGGTATCTTTAAATATAAACTGAAAAAAAACTATAATGATACCTTTAATTTTAACAGGTATTATCTCTCTCTCTCTCTCTCTCTCTCTCTCAAAAATAAAAATTATTGAATTTTGTGAAATATTAACTGTTTTTATTCTGCTTATAATTATTCTATCAAGACAAATATTAGTCAGATCAGACGAGCATATCTGACCTCCAATCTGCACGGAATCCGGTGGTCACTATCCAGAGTCAGTGTGTTGACCTCAGAGATAAGAGATAATCCAACACAGTCCTCGCTCTGTCCTATCAACGTGGTAATCTCATTCAAGGTAATTGAATAGACACGCCAACCTAAACCCATAGAAATAACGATACCTATCTTTACACGTCATCCTCACGATAATACTATGTCTACACGAGACATAATTACATATATTTTTACAATCAATTTGATGGATCTTACTTGCAAGCTAACGTGATATTTCAAAACACTCGACGGCTGTTCATTCAAAGTTTATGAATATTTACCGCCCGTTAAAATCGACTGATGTCTGTTCTAGATCAATAAACATTATGATTCTTAAAATATGTCACAAACTCTTCGCGTTTCTATATATATTTATTGGGCGAATTCTATAATTCATTTGATAGTGTACAGGTATGAAGAGAAATGTTAATATATATATCAATATCAGATTTCTGTAACAATAAAAACACACACTATATATATATATATATATATATATATATATATATATATACACAATGATGTGTGTGCGTGTGTCTGTGTAAATATGTAAAAAATAGGAAAGAACCGTTAGGTTAATAATCTGAAGTTCTTTAGTATTTTGTTTTTTTTTTAAAAATAGTGCTCAATACACAAGTAGATCCTAAATTATTTTTTTTAAATAATTACAATACATATATATATATATATATATATATATATATATATATATATATATATATATATATATATACATTTAGATATAAATAAAAATATACACTGAGGAGGACAGTCTGTTTCATACTGAATGTAGTCTTCAGGCCATATCTTTAATAATGGGAATATGGTGGAAAAATGGATTACTTTTTTTATTAATAATGCTTCCATTATTTTTAGCTTTTTTTTCACATGTGAATGAGGCTCTTATATTTGTATTGATAATGACAAAAGATGTAACCGTAAATTCTATGCTAACAGTTTCTTCTCATGCATCACACGCTTGTACAACTCACTTCCTGGCTTCAATTTTCATCCTCAAAAATATAAATGCAATGTCAATCGTTATCTTTTATCTTCTTAATTCCTATTCTTTTATTAATCTCTCACCTTAATTATGTTTTTCCTCATATTTTCTTACATTCAGTAACCCTCCTAGCGTCTTAGTGGCTTTATTATCTTGCTTGAGGTGAAATGATAAAGAAACAATATTTTCAATCTATTGATTTGGACTCATTGTTGTTTACTGTTATTAGCTTTACTTGCCTTGTCAAAATTGAAAAATAAAAGAAAATTATTGAACTTTTATTTTATGAATTCAAAATTAGACGTAAAGCAACAAAATTACTCACAATACAAAGTATTGTTTTGTTTTGCTGACTGTAAAAGAATATCGAATTCAATATTGGTTTCTAATAATTTCTAGGAGATCCTTGAAGTTAAGGAATATTATCGAATGAGACCCATTCTTGTAGTGAAAGCTTGCAAAGCAGCACGGGAGGTTGCAGAAGAACTTAATGTTGACTATTGAATAACTGTTTCAGATCTGCATTAAAGTAAAGAATAAAAACCGAATCGACAAGGGAAGCAAAATTACAAAGTCTACGCTCTTCGCTTGTTTTGCACAACAAAAACAATCCATTTCTTGATTGCATTTTGACATGTGACAGAAAATAGATTTTATATTACATCCGCAGTAGAGAGAAATGGTCGAAGCAGTACAACGCTTCTAGAAAGCAAAGTTGCATCGAGAGACGGTTAGGGTCAGTGTTTGGTGGTCAGTAATGGAATCATTCACTATAACTTCTTTAATACTGGCAAAATTGTTTTTCTTTCTTTTTTTTTACCAATTTTCACACAATAAGAGGCTCAAGTGTTACTCCAAGTAGAGGGTTACTGAATGAGATAAGTAGTGATTACGTAAGAAGAGGGAGTAATAAGTAAAGATGGTAAGCTAACGGAGGACAAATAACAGTTGACTCTGGACTGGAAGAGGTTAAGAATCTTTAATTCACGAAAGCATCAAAGCAGGAGCCTATTCCAGACAGTAGCGGTCCTAGGATAGAAAGTGTTCTAAGGTAGAAATTCTTTCTGGCCGATAAGATACGAAATTGAATGAGAATGATTCTACCCTGTAAAAATGGATAAAATATAACAAAAACTGGAATATTTACGTCCTACAGAAATTAAACGAACTGGTCAACGAAAGGCTATCCCGATCGGCTTACTTACCAGACCTCTCTCCAACCACTTTCAGGCATCACGAAAATTTACAGCAAGGAAAAAAAAACCTGCAACAACTAAATAGCAGATGAAAACGCTTTCAAAGCAATCATCGGTTCTAATTTCCTATGCTGCTTGAATAAATACAAGTGTTTACTGTTGGCAATAAAACTCAGTTCGAAAACGTTTTCATTTTGACTAATAAACTTGATTCCTATCTGTGAAACACTGCTTCCAAGCTGAAAACTGATTTTTGCACAAAACTAATCGATTCGGAAAGAAGAGCAAAATTTCTTTAGCACTTTAATTTCTGCATTTCTCTGAAGGCGCTAAAAAAGTTGGATCATACACGAAATATTTTATCTGTTTATCTATCTCAGTCTTTTCATATCTATCTATTTATCCAGGTTAGTGTCTCTATAGTAGCTAGCTAAATTGGTTGGGTACTATAAAAATAACAATGCTTATGGTAATGTATATACGAATAGAAGATATCTTTAATCCTACCTGGATAGATAGATAGATAGATAGATAGATAGATAGATAGATAGATAGATAGATAGATAGATAGATAGATAGATAGCAGAAATTTATAGATTTCTAAATAAGCAGAAAATATAGAACGATCGATCGATCGAATGATGGATCGATAGATATGAAAGGGTTCTCAGGTCATTCAATTTAAAAAATCAAATGACAAAAAAAAGTCATTTAAGGGTGAATATAAAAACTGCCCATGTTTTCTGTTTAGTTTGAAAGAGAATAACGATGAAGAATCATTCATCACACACTACATCTATTTTCCATCTTAAAGCAGAGAGACCGTTACCAGTACAAAGATAAATCTTGTTCAGAGAAAGAGAGATAGTGAGAGAGAAAGAAAGAGAGAAATAGTGAAAGAGAGAAAGAGTGAGAGATAAAGAGAGAGATAGTGAGAGAGAGAGAGAAAGAGAGAGAGAAATTGTGAGGTATCATCAAATAAAGTTGTGGTTACGTAATCAAAGTTCACCCAATCAATATCAAAAGGGGTATGTGTCCTTACAAATCCCCCACAATATGGGATTAGTTCAAATACGTCGCTGCAAAGGAATTTCAGAAAAAAGAATTATCCTGTTTCCATGACAACTTCAATTTGCCTAAGCTAAATTCTTGATAAAGAAAAAGTTAGATTCACAGTTGACATGAGTTTGCCTTTTCTGTTCGGAGACGTTCGTCAAAAATAGATTTTTTATCGATTCCAACGGACTCCACCTTCGAATAAATTGCGATTTACTGCCATAAATGTCAGGGCGTTCTCTCGAAAACAATTTTTTACAGTAACGCATATTTTCTATTGTCTTCGTCGAATTAGTCTCTTACTCGCTCTATGTCCACGAGTTCATAAAAAATACTGCTCATAAAGGTTAGTCACAAACGCCGTACTACATGTGCTTTGTACCTTATTCCTATTTCTGAACTTTGGAGTAAGACGTCGTAAGGCTTTTATTTCTTATTCTCTTTTATTTTCCCTCCTTTGATTATTTTTTTCTTTTTATATTATTTTCTTTCTCTTTATTTTCTTTAGTTTATGGAGTGAACAGCAACACCCACCTTTAATTTGTTCAGTGCGAGCAAATGAACGACAGATATGGGTAAGAGGTTGCGTTTCCGTTGTCAAGGAGACGTATACGTCACACTCTTTAGGACAGGTTAATGCCAGTGACTGACGCCATGATGTGAAGGTCTTATCAGCAATGTCATATTCAATATTGAAAATATGAGATAATGATTAAACCGTTTTCTTTGAGGAATATAGGGATATATTTCGATATCATCTGTTTGGAATAAATTGATAGGCACAAACAAAGTATACTGAAGAAAAAGTGTCTCACCGAAAGACTTTAAAGATTGTAAAAATTGTTACATTTTGCGACAAAAAACTTATCGAAATGAAAATGAAAAATTACGCAATTTCAATCAAATCTAAAGATTTTTTTTTCATTTTTACTCAATAAATTTATAAAAGTCAATTTCTAACACACTTGTAATGAATTGTGTTATTAGGCAATAATACCATTACTGTAAGAAAAGAAAAACAATTTTCATGTCTAAACTATTGAGAATTTTCAAAGCCAACCTAAAATATTAGTGTTTTTTGAGATTCTATTTGGAAGAAAGTATGTAGATCTATAGAAGCCTTAATAAAGCTTTTACTGATCTCAGTTTAGGCTGGTACAAAGCAGCAAGTGTTACACTCAAACTCACTAATATTATGAGTAATATTAATTTATGATACTCAGGTGCTAATTACAGATTAATGGCAAGGCTCCAAGTACGGATTTTTATTGACCTAAATCTGTAGAAAAGACTTATCTTTAGTCGTCGACAATAGAAGCCAAGACCCTCTCTCTCTCTCTCTCTCTCTCTCTCTCTCTCTCTCTCTAACTCTCTCTCTCTCGTGTGTGTGTGTGTATGCATTTATCAATATATATATATGATATATATATATATATATATATATATATATATATATATATATATATATATATATATATATATATATATATATATATGAACTTAACACACGTAAAACAGACATATATATACATATATATATATTTAAATTGTGTGTATTTAGGCAGCTTTTTTTCATTCATACATGTTTCATTAAATAATATAGACAAGTGTTGTCTATAATTGGTAACAGAAGCCATTGGTTTATACCAACGGCTTCCCATACGTAATACTTCTCGAATTCACTCACGCGTGATCATGTGTGACGTCATGAGCTGCGGTGCGATTTTCGCTTCCAGCGTCTTCTATGCACGTGTTTATCGTTGTTTGGAAATCATCCATGTAAACAGAAACAGACTATCATCACATTCTTGTCCGTGTATTGCATAATATATTCTCCTGTAATTGTCATCTTTGATAATGGCTTATGTAAGCCGAAAGCTTAGATTGGATTAAAAAATATGTATCAATATTGTGATTTTCTTTCTTCGTTTATGTTATTAAGCTTATCAGACGTTATGGAAAGGAATTTATATAAAATAGACAACACTTGTCTACTATATTATTTAATGAAAATGTATGAATATATATATATATATATATATATATATATATATATATATATATATATATATATATATATATATATATATATATGTATATTTTAAATAATTTAAATAAATATAAATAATAATAATTTTTACCTATCATAATTTTACACAAACCCCACCACACGTCGAGGAAATATTTTTTCAGCGAAAAAAAAAATATATATATACCTAATATGACATGTATACAGTCACGAGACACTAATGTGACATTTCCGCCACACTTCCAATGTTTAAATTTCAACATTTCAACATACAAATGCGTATGTATAGATATAACACCACCCGTATACATACATGTGTCATAGCCGAAAATGCCCACATATATTTATATATGTATGAGTCCCGACGGACGACCAAGTATGTATATGTGTCTGCATACATCGATGTTTGCGTTCGTACGGTGAATGACAAAACGACGAAATTTCCCCCACCACTTCCACAATAACACCAATACGCGCAATCTACATAAACCCAAATTTTTAAAACATTAATCAGTTTGTCTGACGATTGCTAAAGCGTGAAACCCAGGTCACAAAACTCACATCTATCCAACTAATATATATATATATATATATATATATATATATATATATATATATATATATATATATAGATATGCATATGTTGGGCTCACCTGTCGTTTTAACGACGTATGACGGTCAAGCAGCTCATTTTCTAGTAACCGAAAGCCAGACATCTGTACATGTGATTTCATTATAATGGTGAAGCTTTTGTACAAAGCCAACCATATTTTTGAAGGGCCGAATACAGAGACCTGGTGCACTACGCGCCACAAGGTCCCCAAACGACCCTCCGCGGTTTTTGAAATCAGAGTTGTCCTTCTCCTAGATCAGTAGCCATCCATGGCTATAGAACCCAGTATGTCCTGCTATTTACCCTTAGCTTGGGGAGAAGAAGAGGCACGGCGGAGTAGTGGAAGCTGCTCGGATTGAGGAATCGGGGAGCCGAGTTCGAATTCCAGTCGAATCTATTACATTCACTTACATCTTAATACCCGTGGGAAAGGTATGAATCATATATATATATATATATATATATATATATATATATATATATATATATATATGAGTATGCAGAATAAATAAGGATATCTCACTGCAGGATTAAATTTTATTTCTATAAAGCTTGTATTTAATGGCTATGTATTTGAGAAGACATCTCTTTTTTTTAACGGCAAAACTGATGTCTATCCGTCTAGAAATCTAGAAGGCCTACTAAATAAAATGTGCCTATCGACAGGAATAAATACGTTCTGCGAGTGCCAAATTCTACCAGTAGCCTTTCCTCATTAAATCTCCTAGAAATTTCAACTGTCTCTTTCTTATTCTAAGTATAAATATGTATTTTTGTTTCCATTTTCCTTAAGAGTATTACACGTTTGAATAACTCGACAATCTTTGAGCTAACGATTTTCCTATATTTTATCCAATATGTAATACATTACAATTGAAAGAAGCAACAATAATGTCATAACATATACTGGCTGTTTGTGTTATCTTTGTTGCCACCCAGAAAAAAAGGATTCCGTATAAATATTTGAGATAAGTGAATTTTATAGAAAGAAAACAAGAATTGTTGCTTATATAGAAGAAACATGATTCATCCGTAGACATGCAACTGCGAATATTTGATAAAAAGCATTACTTGCAGCATTTTGAAATATTTAGATTCCGTTCTTTGGGTAGCTGTTATCTCAAAGTTTTTTTTCATTTTCTGCTGGTAGGCAAGAAAATTGCAATATACAAAGTAGAAGTACTTTAATCAAATTATGTAAATCAATTTAACGCAAATAGTTGGTTGAAGTAGCAGCTGCTACAACAGTGTAACGTAAGATCTAGATAGATCCCTGTTAAAAAAAATAGATACAGATTTAATGTTGATCGAAATTATCTCCGAAAAAAATAGAAAGCTTGTCGCCTCTCTGGAATTGGCAAAAGTCCAGTCAATAAACCATAAAGAATTTTTTAAAGTTTGTTTGGTTATCATGAGTTATGCGTCATAAAGCAGGAAACAACTTTTTGCTTTTCGAAAGGCGCGAAAAAAATTGGTGAGGACGGAATCATTCATTTGAGAATTTACACTTCATGATTGAGCAACCTTTATTGATATAAACGGAGTGGGACAGAACTGTTGATAGATTTTGCAACAGTTGCGTAAACGAAGGCAGAGAAGTTCTTCAAATTGTAGTAAAAAGGTCACCTAAAGGTTAACAGGCTCGTCTCACAGAAGAATTTGCTTGTGCAATATTCGCCGACAATGGTTTTATACCAGATTGTTCCCAATCGTGTGTCTCATTATGGGATAGTATTTAGTAAGGTAATCGCGAAGGCGATATACTACTACTGCAATGAGTTCATGCATTTCTGGATGAACCGGGCTTGGAGTATAGCGTCGCACTAAACCAAGCTTAGTAAGTTTAAATTTTTGTTTGCAGCAAGTGTGGTACGGCAACAAGATCGTTTCGTTATTATGGAGCAATACAATCTTCCTATCACAATTTACACTATTGATCCAATAGCCTAAGCTAACTGATTAACAACAATCCACTAAAGTCAATAGAAACAAAAAAGTTATCATATCGTTAGAACAAATGATTTCGTCTCTCACGTGACTAAAAGTAAATACATATAAGCATTTTCTGAATGGTGACATTTCAATGCGATTCATGAAATTGTTAATTCATTGCCTTGAAACAAAAGTTCATAGTCAATAGATGACGTTAGAAAATTCAAGACATATGTACATAAGTAATGTATATAATGGCAACATTTCAACCTGTCTTTTAAAAGATTCTTGTTTGGATTATGAAGTTCATGTGTTTTTACGTTAAAAGTGAAAATAAAGATAAATACAGTTTTACTTCTAGAAAAGAAAAAAAAATCACTGAACAAATAGCAAAGGGTTTATGTGTCGTTTTTGTTAATTGTGCCGTAGCTGAGAGGACTGTTCGTAATTGGTTCACTAAATTCAGAAAGTTTGAACTGGAAGAAGGGGAATGTTCTGGAAAGCGTGCAGACGTTAATAACCAAATCGCTCCAGTACACGGGACATTGCAAAGATACTTCACCTAATACGTGATACCCTACAGTCTGCGGGTAGATCGTGATTCAACGGAAAAAATAATGAAATTTCCATCTAACTAGAAAAATGACCCACGTTTGAAAAGAACGACCACAGGCGATGAAAAATGAACATTTTACATCAATTTGAAAAGAGAAATGTCCTTGGGACAACGAAAGAGCCACCGTCAATTACTCCAAGAGCCGGTTTTCATCTGAAGATGTTGATACTCTGTATTTGGCAGGATTCGGAGGGCATTGTTATTACGCAAAATCAGTCCTTAATTCAGAGCTATACTGTCCCCTGTGGACAAAGTAAAGGCTGAAATCTTCCAAGATTGCCCAATCAAAAGGATGTCGGCTTAATATCAAATCCGGAAGAAATTGGTACAGCTGGGCAGAGATGTTTAACTACATCTACTGTACTCACCTAACCTTGAGCCTGTGGTTTACCACTTATTACAAAACTCTCGTAATGGAAAAAATATCAATTCTATGGAAGCCTGCAAAGACCAGATCACCATCTTTGCCTAAGTTTTAGGAGGATGGAATTATGTAGCTGCCTCAAAGAAGGCAAAGAGTAGCAGAATGAAATCACACATATCTGCTTGAATATGAAGACACTGACATGCATATAGACAGCCCTACGTAGACAGATAATAGATGAAAGGAAATACACTCATATATTAATTGATTGATATACAGAAATATGTAACGCTGCACTCGATAACTCGCTCCCTAGGACAACATTTTGACAGCGAGAAATGAACACACATAGCTTGATATGAAAATGAATAAAAAGAAACTAACTCGCTAGCTCGGAGCTTACAGAAATAGACAGAAATTTCAGCTTATAAATAAATAGATATATGTATGAAAACTCAGAGAGAGAGAGAGAGAGACTGTACAGTGGACAAAATCAAAAATAAACAACGCACATGTAAATATTATTATAAATTGAGAAATGAAATACTAGGCACAAAGCCTCCAGGGACAGAGTTACCATTGAGTGTTACTACAAAACGAACAAGTCCTTGATTTTTCCGATACAACATCCAGTCAGTTATGTGCTATGCGGGATACACGCTCAGGCGATCATGTATCTTTCGATACATGACTGACGAGGCAGATTTTGCATTTCTTTCTGCGGTATACCAATTGCCATCCAAGGCTGTAGAACCTGGTCTGTCCTACTATTTACCCATAACTAGGGGAGGGGTGGAGAAAACGAGGTTTCATACATTTCCCAAGGGTATTATCACCTAAGTGAATGGATTCGACTGAAATTCGAACTCGACTCTCCAATTCCTCAATCCGTGCCGCTATCCATTACTCCACCGTGCGTCCTTATCCAACATTAGTGTTCTTTACTGTGATCCCAAAAAGGAAAATACTCAATTTATAATAAAATTTATATTGCAGCATACATACAGGCTACAATGGGTAAATTATCGCCATTTTATATTTTTAATTTCGTGCATACGCGCTGTTTGTTTTGATTTTGTCCACTGTACAGTACGGTATGGTCAGTTGGGCAACATGATGCAATTCACTCTATCACAAAATTCGGAAACAGCATGCTGTACTGCATGTCATTCGCGCCGGAAGCAACAATACAAACATTTCAGAGTGTTTGTCAATCTGTTGAGCGAGAGACCAACAAAATACCTTGTAATACCAGAGATGAACTGAAGGCAACGATTATGGCAACATTCACCAGCTTAAACAAGGAGACCATCTAGTTGAGTTGCAGGAGATTCCGAAGCCGTCTGGAGGCCATGGTGAAGCCAATGATCAAGAGATTTTTGTGTAATTTTGGTAAATATATCTGCTAAAATGAGATGTCAGTGTTGTTATTATTTTTAGACGAAAATTTATCCACCGCATTCTGTATATTCTAAATCTTACGTAATTATCTTTCTTCACACACACACATATATATATATATATATATATATATATATATATATATATATATATATATATATATATTGCTAAGGAAGTCGTAGTGGGTAGTTATATAGATGGAAAACAAACTGTAGCTAACTGAAGGTACACATGTCGATACCAGATCAGTATCGTCTGGGTCACCGTAGAGAGTGAGTATGATTTTGAAAGACATGAAACCCCAATGAACCTCGACTAGAAATGTCACTGGTGATATGTACCAAAGCATCCAATAGATGCATTATACGAACCAATATATATATATATATATATATATATATATATATATATCCTGTTGCAGACGTCTGCGCACATACCTTAGGTGTATACTGCAACTCTATTGAGCCGGTATCTCGTATAATCAGCAATTTGAATAAAGTCAGGTCGCTCAAACTCACGATGCCAGTGACTTGTGATTTCCTGTTTTGCTATCGATGCCTTCAGAACGGTTCTGTCTACACAATTTCATTCAAGTGTGGACAACACGTTATATGGTTATCAAACACTGAGATCGATAAAATCTAGAAGTCACCTTCCTAATAAATGGTGAGATTCGAGCGCCTATCCCAAGATCGCAAAGCAAACGCTCTGACTTGTACACGCATCCATAAATACAAGAACTGACAAACATTTTAATCAACCTATGAGTACTTGCAGAATATGAATGGACATGTAAACATAAAGTATATTGATTGTCTCCCTTTGATTTACGATATATAGGCACATACAGATATATATATATATATATATACATGCATATATATATGTGTGTGTGAGAGAGAGAGGGAGATAGAGAGAGAGAGAGAGAGAGTGTGTGTGTGTGTGTGTGTGTGTGTGTGTGTGTGTGTGTGTGTGGATTGAAAGTTGGGGTAGGTCCTGTTCGCTACTGTTAATCTTGCCTGACCGAAGTACAGACCTTTCATGCGATGCATGTCTCGATTTCTTTTCCCCTTCATTCCCTCTCTTCGCTTTCCCCTTGCTCTCCCTTTGCCAACTCATACTCTCCACCCGCATGGATGTGATATAAATAAGAATTCCAATTCAGGAAATAGCAAATGGGTGTGTGTCCGAGTGTAAACAAAAGCTGGGTGAGAAGAGGAACTGAAACAAAATGTGCCTGGCCCACCGGATGGCCAACCCCGCACACTTAGCCATCAGTCTAAAGATAAACTTGGATGAAAAAGCCGCACCCCGCTATTAGCCACCCCCTATTGTCAAGCTCGATGGACGACGAAGCCGAACCGTATTAACCTGAGTCTTGTAATGGCCTTTCTCTGGGGGTCGTGGCTGCTTGGCTTAACAATGGGGAAAGATTAAAGGAACTTGATTCCGAGAAATATGATTATTTCAAGTCACCGATGTGTGGTTTAACCAGTGACAGATTAAATTATATATTTAGGATAGCGCGCATACTTTCCTCTTAAGCATGTGTGCGCCTTTTATCCTATGAAAGTAAATATATATATATATATATATATATATATATATATATATATATATATATATATATAATTTTTACTTACATGGGGGCAAAAGGCGTAAATATATATGCGCGTATGTGTGTATGCTCACCTCAAACACACACACCTTTTCACGCAAAAAAATATATATTAACACATTTATTATATGTATATATATATATATGTATATATATGCATATATATTTATATATATATGTACAATATCAGAGATAGAGCGTATGTAAATATGGATATAAAAGTGAACATTGAAGTCAACACCCAGAGGCGACAGGCTGTTTCATGCTGGACGCAATCGTCAGGCGGCCAGACGATTGCGTCCAGCATGAAACAGCTTGTCGCCTCTGAATGCTGACTTCAATATTCACTTTTTGAATATATATATATATATATATATATATATATATATATAGTGTGTGTGTGTGTACAGTAAGAACTGAGTGCAAAAAATATTTCTGGATGCAAAATAACAGAGCTGACATATATATATCAACACCCAGAGGCGAAAATTTGTTTCATGCTTAAATATATTCGTCGCCCCATGTATGTTGTGTCTTGGCACGACTATTTATATATGCTGCCCAGTGATGCACTCTGGGTAGGTCTATGGTATTATTCTAACCTTTATTGGGCAGTCCCTAATGGTTATGTTTCAAATTATTCTAGGAGCTATTGAGTGGAATTTATGTTTCAAATTATTCTAGGAGCTATTGAGTGGAAATAATTGTGGATACGAATGCAGTTTTCTGCCTATTTCATAGTGTTTATTGTTAACTTTATTATTGAATGTTATTTGTTGTTAACTGTTATTATTATGTTTACTTGTATTTTTGAATGTATTAGTAGTTTGTTTAATCATTTATAATTTACTTAATTTATTTATTTATTGATTTCGATTTATTTATTACACTTATTTTCTTCGATTTTTGTTCGGTTTTAGTCTTTGGTTTTTAAATAACGTAGTAAAAATTTGTTTTCGTGTCTGTATTTTGAGATTATTTCTCAACGTTTATTTAGTAATTTGTGTTATAGATATTTTCTGCTCCATAGTTTTATATTTACATACGCACTATCTCTGACATCGGCCACTTTAACTGATGAATAGAGAATACCTTAAAACTATATATTTTTATCATATTTAACACCTGGTAAACACTAGAGCACTTTCGCTACATTTATAACCGAAAGGTTTAGACCCAAATACTAGCTAAAAACATACCTATCGCATCACCATCCACCTACATACTAATATATATATATATATATATATATATATATATATATATATATAATTATTTATTAAAAATATGATTCTATCGCTACATAAGAATTCTCATGTTTCAAAACAAGAGCCGAAAATTTCAATCTAATTATTTGAATTAAATTGAATTAAAGTACCAAGCTCTGTTCCATCTTCAAGCGAATTTTCTTTCATGATAGCTGATCACCCGTCAGTTTTTTTCCAGAACATGGTGGCCATAGCTAGGCGTATAGGCATGAGCGAGCACTCGAAGCACATTAGTGTATAATCGTAATTCTTCATTTAAAAAAGATAGATAGATAGATAGATAGATAGATAGATAGATAGATAGATATGTGATGGAGTGGTTGAGATAGATAGATAGATAGATAGATAGATAGATAGATAGATAGATAGATAGATAGATAGATAGGGTACAATGAATCAATTCTGGCATTTCATTTTCACAGATATATTTACCAAAATTACACAAAAATATCTTGAAATACTAAAGAATAGATTCATTCAATAAAATCGCATTTGGCTCCAACCATGGCCTCTACACGACTTTGGAATCTCCTGCAAATCTCCTTCTTTAAGTTGATAAGTGCTGCCATAATCCTTTCCTTCAGTTCATCTTTAGTGCTACAAGGAGTTTTGTTGGTCTCTCACTCAACTGCACCCCACACATAATAATCAAGTGGGATGCAGTCTGGAATGTTAGGTGGCTAGATGTAAGGGGTGATGTAGTCGCAATAATTGTCTGAGAGTCATGACAGTGTTCTTCCGCTTATGTGTCATAGTTCAGAGTCCTGTTGCCATACATAGGGTCTTCCAGCCAGCCTCTTTACCCAGAATAGCACTACCTCCTCCATGTAGTTGATGTAGCCCTCCATGTTGAGCCTTTAGGCTCTGTCGGAAAATGAAATAATGTCGCCATAATGTAGGCATAACGTCGCCACCATAGTGATTACTCCAAACACCTTCGTGGTCACCATTAGACTCATCTAACTCTTTCCGAATCCTCCGAACTGCCCTCAGATTGACAACCAAACACTCAGAAATGCTTGTATGTAACATGGATCCATATATTTGCTTATATACTGTCTACTGAAATACAAACCTGAATTCACTTTATAACATGGATCCATATATTTGCTTACATACTGTCTGCTGGAAATACAAACCTGAATTCACTTTTATATATATATATATATATATATATATATATATATATATATATATATATGTAAAGCAAATGTTACATATGACAACAGACGTTTTGTGTCGATTAATTTTATTAATCGCCCTTTCCAATTTACGAAAAATGCTTCTCCAACAAGGAGACAGTTCCATCAGAAATTGAACAAAAATCATTTTAGAAGAAATGTATCCCATCTTTTTACTTTCTTACGTCCTTATCAGAGTAGGTAGAGACAAATGAGGATTTTCGTAGAACTAGTGAAGTTAGTGTGCAAAGTGTGTTCTGACGTAGGCAATGTTGTGACATAGGCGGAGTGTCACGTGTCTGTCTATTTTGTTTTTACTTATACATTTAATGTTACGAGCTCTTAAATTATAATTGCTTTTATTTATAGATGATTGCTTTTGTTTTATGAATATCATTTCAAAGATCATAAGTCTGTTTTTAAAATTTGATTTTGTTAGTATTTTGGTATGGTTTGTGAGTACCTTTCAAATGTTACTATGATCGTCATACTGCTTATTAATGTATTGGCTGATGGTACTTTAGTCCGACTAGGACGTGGTGGTCTGACGTCACGAGCTGCGATGGGATTTTCGCTTCCGCGTCTCGTATACACGAAATTGTCGTTGCTTTGAAATTTTTCATGCAACAAAAACAAACTATCATTATTGTTTCGTCCGTGTATTGTTTGATATATTGAAATGTAATTGTCATCTTTGATAATGGCTTATGTAAGCCGAAAGCTTAGATAGGATTTGAATATGTATCAATATGGTCATTTCTTTTCGTCCTTCAATAATAATGTTATTAAGCTTATCAGACAATATGAAAGCAACTTACTTAAAATAAATAGACAAAACTTGTCTATAATATTTAGGAAGCATGCATCAATGAAAAATTGCTGCCTAAATATATATATATATATATATATATATATATATATATATATATATATATATGTATATATATATATATATATATATATATATATATATATATATATATGTGTGTGTATGTGTGTGCGCGCGTGCGTGCGTTTGCGTATAATTAGGTGTATTTAGGTACCAACTTTTCATTTATACAGGCTTTGGCGATTTAGTCCAATCTCTGGTTTCTAAGGTATGTTTTCTGGTCGATTTCGGCTTTCATTAGCCATTATCAAAAAGGCTTATGTTTCTTCATGTGTTGCATTGTCTTCCTTTCTTAGATTCAAGTTTTGCGTCTTTGCTTCATGCATATATACCTACCTCTGATCTGTAAATATTAATGAAATACACCTTTCTGTAGTTATGAAGTTTATTTCGTTGATAAAGATTTGGCGTCTTGATTTTATCGCCAACCTGACGTGGTTTCCCTCTGTCTTTTCCTCAAATATATTCATGGAAATTGTTCTGATGAGATTTCCTAACTTGATGCATCGACTGCATGATTTTAAGCGTGTTACTAGATTGCCAACTAGGTCTCACTGCTTTACCTTGAAACCAGCTAGATGCAACCGTATGTTCTATTCTAACATTGTCTTTTCTCGCACTTTTCGCCTATGGATACCCCTTTCTGATTTCTTGCTTCCCTGTCATCTACAATCTTAAAAAAGTTAAATGCAATGCCAATCACCATCTTCTGTATTCCTGACCCTGTTCTTTCATAATCCTTTCTCCTCACTTCTCACTAAAGTTTTCTAACTCTCTTTCCACTTCCAGTAGCCTCTTGCGTCTTAGTGGCATTATCGCCTTGCTTGAGGTGAAATTATTAAAAATATGGGTTTTACAGATGTAGTTAAGGCCCAACGTTCACTATCCAATAGATAGATAGATAGATAGATAGATAGATAGGAAGGAAGGAACAGACTGAGATAGATAGATAGATAGATAGATAGATAATGTTTGTTATGTACCTTTCCACCCGCAGGAATAAACCAGACAACAGATGGGATATGCATCATACGCGACCACGTGTGTCGTTGGCGCGTAACATTTGTCGTGACCTTTTAATGAATCCAGTAAAAGTACACACCGTCTGCCCCAACGGAAGGACATTGTGGCGTAATTATTAATTTCTTAATACGTCTGACTCCATTGAATCGACTGAGATTATAAATGTACATGGGGAAAATTAATTTTATACAAAAATATATATTTTACTATAATCTCTTTTCTTAATCCAACGGGTTACCATAAATCGAATATATCAAATATTGTCAGTATTACCGATTAATCTTCAGTTCATAACTGTTTCAAAGTACGGACATTTTATCCATTTAGATAGATAGATAGATAGATAGATAGATAGATAGATACAGTCAACGACGAAATTATTCGTACACCCATCGATTTTGAATATTTTTATCCATTTCTCAGAAATATTATGCCAAGTTTTTTTTTATATCTTAATAAGCACAAAAAAGGAATATAAAACTCTATTTTCAGAACATTAGGTTAAATACAACATGGCCTTCATAGAGTCCTTATTTGAATCCTAATGAAAATCTGTGGTAAGAATTGAAAGTTCGAATAAATCGTCGGCCACCAAAAGCCTTCAGAAATTAGTATATGTAACCATTGAAGAATGAAAGAAAATCCCAGAAAAGACTTGTTCAAATCTCTTCAAAAATTTTGAGAGCCGATTGCAGCAACATATAAAAATGAAAGGCCATACTATTGACTATTAATATTGTGAAAACTGTTCAATTTTTCTATTTTTATTCTGTACGAATAATTTTGTCTTTTCCTATTTTGCATAATTCGCGTGTTAAATTTGTTGTATTTAAACTATTGTTCTGAAAATTGAGTTTTATATTCCGTTTTTGTGCTTATTAACATATAAAAATCCATACGGGCATTAGATTCAGACAAATGAATGAATAAATATCCAAAATTGATGGGTGTACGAATAATTTCGTCATTGACTGTAGATATATATATATATATATATATATATATATATATATAGATAGATAGATAGATAGATAGATAGATAGATAGATAGATAGATGTGGAATAATTTATAAGTAAATGAATCAACCGTGAGGTGAATACATATCACATAAAAAACTGTGGCAAATAATTTTCCTAAACTGATTAAAATGTTTCTTTTTATTTGTAAAAATGCTATGGACAAATTGATCAATATCTGTTGGAATTTCTCACAGAAGAATTTATATTCAATGAATAGGCCAACTGAAACATTGGAAATCAATAAATCCTGCTTTCTTTCATCTATTTCATTCAGTTTGATTTTCGTCTTTTTTTTGCTTTTCTTTTTCATTTCTTTATTCAATTTTTATTTCTTTCCTCTTTCATTTTCTTTTTCTGTATTTCATTTAACCTTATTTAGTCAATTCAATGTTTTGTCTTTTTCTTTTCTTTTTTGTGTTCTTTCTTTTATTCCGTATTTCTCTTTACTCTTTCTTTCGTTTTTCTTTTTATCAATTTTATTCTTTCTCTCTTCTACTTATCCTTCTTCCTTAATTTTTATTTTGTTTCTCTTTCCCCTATTTCATTCAGTTTTCTTCTATCTAAATTCTTCACCTTTTTTAATTTTTCTTCTTCCTTCGTCGTCTGTCATTCGCTTCTCCAAACAATTTTATATAATTCGTCTGTATCTCGAAATAGGATAAGCACAACGAGGAAAACAGAATTCAGATTGAAAAGGAATTGAATTGAATAAGATCATGTAAGTACAGTCGGTTTTACAAGTACAAGAATGTACTAAAAAAGCGGTCTGTGCAAGCCTTCAAAGTGAAATAGGACTCTGATCCTCACATAGGCAAAAATCATTAAACTGCCTCAGCAATTTTGAAAGTTAGCATTCTCGAGCATTCATGAGTTTGACCATTGATTGCAAGCAGTAAACATTACAATATCACACAGAACGCCTGTCCTAAGATAATCAATTAATTGGATCGAAAGACGGGAAAAATGAATCAAGGAATCATATAAAAATGGAAATCAAAACAGGATGGAAGAAAAAAGAAAAGAAAAGAATGAAAAAGAACGAAAGAAATAGAATATGAAAAAAAGTAAGAAAAATGAAAGAAGGAAGTAGTAAATAAAGAAATGAAGGAGAGAAATGAAAAAATGAAGAAAGGTAAAAAGAAAAGAGAGAGAAAAAGACGAAACAATGATAAAGTAAGAAATAAAAGGAAAAGAGACGGATAGAGGAAAGAAGGAAGAGAAAAAAAAGAAGAAAAAGAATTGCATTAAGGAAGTAAGGCAGAAATGGAGGAGAAAAGAAGGAATGAAAATAGACTGAAGAATAAAATAGAAGATAAATATAAAGAGAGAAGGAAAAAATAACTGAAGAAAAAATGAAAGAGCGAAAAAAGACGACCAGTTTTTGCATTTAACCTTACTGGAAAACCGAACAAAAATATAAAAAGATTTGTCTAAAAAAGTCAAAATAAATAAAAGAAGTGGAGGTAAATGATGCCAAGAAAAAAAGATTTCATCCATCAGCCTCAACTAAAAATAGAATTTTCTTTTCATTCTCACAAGAAAAAAATTTTTTTTCCAATCTAAAATGGAATCGTATTCATTTTAAATAAAGAATGGCAGTCATTACTTACCGTGAGAAAAGACGTTTTTATACAGTCAAATTCACATACACACACGTCCAAGAACACACACACACATGCACAATATATTTAGACACACACACAATTATACTATCACACACATACGCGCACACACACGGCACAAAGATCAAAATAAATGTTGTTTTCCCTTTTATGAATATATCACTTTTAAAATATATAAATCCATCAAATTCTGTAAAAATAAATTGTAATCATCATAAAGATAAAAAACACAAATTGATATTTTTTCTTCAAACATTAAAATCACGCTTAGTTTTTTTAATAAAAAAAAACCTTCGGGAGAGAAAGATATCCAGAAACAGTGAATTTTTTCCATTCCATCTCATTTTTGAAAACATAAACACACGCACACACATACACACATACATACATACATACATACATACATACATATATATATATATATATATATATATATATATATATATATATATATATATATATATATATATATAAATTTAAGTATGACCAAAGATTTTAGGGAGTATTGATGAATATTACTGTCATCTGTAGAATTTAATTTTTCTAACTTGTATCAAGAGCCATGAACGAACAAGACTCATCTCAATAAACAAGGAAAAACCAAATCGTCTTAATTTCTTTCAAAGTCTTTTCAGTTTTTAGAGTCACTTTGAGTCAAATGGCTCGGTTTGTGATTGTAATCGAGTGAACAGCTGCCATATTAATAGCCGGTATGTACAAGAACAATATGATCAATCCGTCCGGCACAATGCTACCATTGACTGCCTCCGAACAGTTTCATCTGCCTAATTTCACTCACAATGCTTGGGTCAAACCGTGCTATGGCTTCCTTTGCGGAACATGAATTAAAATTTCGCCGTGGGCGACATTGACATTGATTTTACAAGCATGGATCACTTCAGGATATATATATGGATATATATATATATATATATATATATAGATAGATAGATAGATAGATAGATAGATATGTGTTTGTGTTTTTTTCAGATAGAGTGTATCTGTAAAGGAGCAAAATTAATAAAAAGATATTTTTATCCGACACGTTTCGTTTTCATGTGCCTTGAGAAATACGCTCAGTGGTTGAAATAGTCTTCCTCTTCTCTTTTTATTCATATATATATATATATATATATATATATATATATATATATATAAATATATATATATATATATATATATATATATATATATATATATATATATATATATATATATATATATATATATCATGGCTGTCCTCTCGGTTTCGAGCGTGACCACCTCCTTTATTTCATGTCTTTACAATTGCAAGAGAAAACGAAACGTGTCGGATAAAAATATTAAAAATATTTTTTCTCGTCTTTTTATTAATTTTGCTCCTTAACAGATCTACTCTATCTGAAAAAAATTACACACACACAAACACACACACATATCTATCTATCTATCTATCTATCTATATATATATATATATATATATATGAGGTTTGTTCCCAAGACTAAAACAGAAAGATCACATAATTAAACTGTATTAGTTTCTGCTGAAGCAATACGTCGCCTAAGGTAACAGTTTTGTGGACTATGTCTTATCATCGATGAGGAGAACTGATGTCAACATTATGCGGAGGAATTAAAACGAAATGCTACAACGAGTCGACATATAAAATCTGCAAAAGTTGTTCATAACAGGCAAAAAATATATAGAGCCAATGACGATATGTGTTAAAATAGTTATAATTATTTATAGCTGCACACATGTTCTATCCGAAGTGTCTTTGTACCATGTGTCTACATTGCAGTTTCTGTGGAGTTAAACATCAGCATTACTTTCGGAGCAACACCCATGCACAATTACATTCAGTTGACAATATCGGTTGCTTAAATTTCTTATTATCACATTTCTCATATAAATACACATAGACACACTCGCACACACACACACACACACACATATATATATATATATATATATATATATACATAAATGGTTAGAGTTGAAACATACCAGAAACCATTGGTATTAATAAGTTCTCAATACACGTGGGAACAATAAATTAAAAATCAGATCAGTTGAATCCGTTAACTTACGGTATCAGCAGTCCATATTTTTTTCATAAAAATCGCCTGAGGATACTGTAAGGTTGAAACCTGTGTAGTTGATTCAACTGATCTCTTGACTTTTAAATTATATACTCTCCGGCATTCTTCAGGTGGTTGGAATATCGAACTGAACCTTTTATTTCGCTCACTGGGGTAGACTGTTCTAATTCCACGTGCCATGTCTAATGGATGTTAGTTATCAGTTATCTTCTGTTAATTCCCCTCTCCACGTTCTCCACTGCCTTAGCCGGGTATTGAACTCACAATCTTTGAGTCCTGTCAGT